AAATACCTATAAATGTTCCATTAAAGTTCTGCATATGATAATCATAGCGAGAGGTTAAAGCAAAAGGAATAAATATTGAGGATTGAATTGTTTTACTGTTTGACACTGCAAAGAATGTACTAACATTATGAACAAAATTTAATTTAGAAAGCCATTATACAATAATAAATATGTGTATTGTATATATATAATGTTGCTGCTGCATATCAACTTATAGTATTTTAAGATGATACTAAAAATACTTTGTTTAAATAGACAAATTAAGAATTTTAGGCTATTTTGATGATTGTTACATGAGGTTCATCCTTAGGCTTATTTAAGCAAGGATCTCATAGTTGTCTTTTTAATCCTTGTTCAATCAAAAAAATAGAATAAATGTAAATATTATATCCTAGAGAAAACTGGTAATTTTTTAGACCTCGTGTTTCCTAATAAAACGATAGTATTTTACAGGCAGGCTCTTATATGCCACAGAGGAGAACATACTGAAATAAGAGAATGCACAGAAAAGAGAACACATGCTTTTTCAAGATGTCTACATTTAGTAGATTTGAAACCTCTTTCTTTTTAAATGTATGCTTTTTTATTTCAAATCAAGAGATTTAATTAAAGAATCACTTGTCAACAGGCATCTGTGCATCTCATCACATGCAAATTTTAGAGACTAATATTGCTGAGCATAATTGGCTTAAGGAAATATAGTTTGGGTTTTGCTAATAGAAATAAAGACTAAATATATTTCAATATGTCATAGAATATATTTCAGAGTAGGCTTAGAATCTATTTTAAATGGCCATACCAATAGAATATTCAGTTGCATCATCACTAACAGTAGGCTTAAGTTTGAATTTGGCAGTAGAGCTGGGATCTGCATATGAGTGAGCTTCTTTCTTTCCATTTTCAATACTTGCTTTATCAACATTAGGAAATAAACTCTTCCATATCCAACTGTTGATAATGCATAAGTAAGAAATTTTCTTAGCAAATCAGTCAAGGATCCTGAAAAAAAAAAAATCATTATTCTTGGCTTTCTGCAAAGGATAAAAAGCAAGCTACATTCAGATGAAAAATGAAATCCGTATCTCTCACTTTGGCTCATTTGCTTATTGTTTTAATGCTTATTGCCTTTTTTTTAAGGCTGAGTCTCACTCTGTTGCCAGGCTGGAGTGCAGTGGCGTGATCATGGCTCACTGTAATCTCTACCTCCCACGTTCTAGGAATTCTCCTGCCTCAGCTCCTCAGTAGCTGGGACTACAGTGCACAGCACCACACCAGCTAATTTTTTGTATTTTAGTAGAGACCGGGTTTCACTATGTTACCCAGGCTAGTCTCAAACTCCTGAGCTAAGGCAATTCACCCACCTTGGCCTTTCAAAATGCTAGGATTTCAGGTGTGAACCACCATGCCTGGCGGCTTATTGCCTTTTTGTCAGTGATTTAGTTATGGAAAAAGTATCTATTGCTGTCATTAAATATTCTTTAAAATTTTGTTAAGGGTGAATTGTTAAGTACATCCCACAGGAACTATGGCGGTGGATACCTGATGAAATATCTAATAACCCTAATTTATCTAATACTATGTCATAAAACTCAATATGCAGTCATATCCTTTTGTAATGACTTAAACTTTAAGCAGTAAGCTTGAATCTGAGATCGAAGAATTTTTTGAGGTTTCTTTTAGAGGTAAAAGAAACCATAGAGGTCACTAGCCAGACCTTTCATTTTCTGTATGGAGAAACCAACCCAATGCAGCCAAGCTAACCAACAACCTGTCTATGATTTTGGCCAATCAACTGCAGAGCCAAGACGAGAACTTTCTTTTCTTTTTACCAATGGAAAATATATTCTCATAATACTTTATTTATAGGAATTCTAAGAACCTGAAATTATAGACTAGTATAATATACCAGAAATTCCAAAGGCCTGTTAAAAACATCATACTTTTGTTCTAAAACTGTCCTAAAATAAATATGCTAGCAAAAATATGAATATGAATTAATTACTTGGTTTTATTATTGATGTATTCATTTACTTTTGTATTCTGAAAAATGCCCTCTACAACTTATTTAGATGGTTCAGGTCATTTTTCTCTAAGTGTTGGAGAAATTTCAATGTGTTCACCTTTATTCACTGAGGTTAACATGAGCTTTCTCATTTTAACACACCTTCATTACTTACAAAAATATGAATATGAATTAATTACTTGGTTTTGTTACTGATGTATTCATTTACTTTTGTATTCTGAGAAATGCCCTCTACAACTTATTTAGTTGGTTCAGGTCATTTTTCTCTAAGTGTTGGAGAAATTTCGATGTGTTGACTTTTATTCACTGAGGTCAACATGAGTTTTCTCATTTTAACACATCTTCATTACTTAGATTGTAAGTAATGAATGTATCACACCTTCATTACTTAGATTATAATATTTAAAAATCATTATTGGGATATTTAAGTAATTGAAGTTTTAAATAATTTCGGTTGCAAGGATATAGAGCTTCTGCTACTCAGTGTCTTCCACAAACCAACAGTATTAGAATCACGGAGGAATGTATTAGAAATGCAGCCTTAGCTTCCCCTTCCCAAGACCTAGACCTGCTGAATCACAATCTGTTATTAACAAGGTCCTAGGTGATTCCTACGCACATTAAGTTTGGAGAAGCACTTATTTAAAGAGAAATCTCAGAGCCTCATTCTGTTTGTTGTTTTTGTCTTTTTCTTTCTTGCCTTTCTTTCTTCACCCTCCCCTCATAGGAAATGAACATCAAAACATCAGGGTTTGCTTTAATAGTCAAAAAGAAGGACAGTTCAAAAGGATGTAGAAGGGAGGAGAGGAAATACATCTCTTCATTCTAGGATGGCATTCGGGACTAACAGCCTAATGACATGTCTTTGGAATGTTTTTTAGCATCTAGCAGATCCACATTCTTCACTCTCTTCTGGGTTTTTCCCGAGTCATTACTCACATGGGTCCCTGCTCTCAAAACCAAGGTTGTGTAACTGTACTGAGAAATGGAGTATAGGAGTTAATTATATAGTGTTGAATTTACAGAGGGTGAGCCACAAAGTAGCAAAAGCAAGGACTGCCTGTTCCAGTTAAAGACAGAAAGCAGAAAGGGGTTTATTGTTGGTTATGTAGCCTGGGAACCACTATGAATAACAGGCATTGTGAGGCAGAGGAGAAATTGTTGTAATTAAAAGCAAAGTAAAATACCTGAGGCCAGGCCTCCATATCCAAAGATGACTGTAGTGAGTAATGGATTGAAAGATGGACTAGTGCAGTGATTAAGAGCTTAGACTCTGAGCTACAATTTTTCTTGGTTCAAATCCCAGCTCATCTTATTTCTTGGCTCTATGGCTGTGGGTAAGTTATTTAACCTTTCTAACCTCTTCATCTGAAAACAGGGCAAACAGTAGTACCTCTTCATAGGGTTGTTGTAAATAGTAAGTGAAAAAAAAAATCTGTGTAAAAAGTAGTTAGCACAGTGTCTGAAACATAGTAAGTACTCAATAAGTCTTTGAGTGTTTGTGTTTATTTACTTATCATCTTAATTATTTAATACTTATCTGAATCAGCTTCCCTTTTACCTAATCACATAATTTTATGTGGTTTTTCTGGGTTTCACCTGTGGTCTGTGGCCATAGCAAAGAGCTAGCGACAGCTTTAACTTAAGAAAATTATGTTGGACTGAACAGTAAACATTTGTTGATCACCTCTGGGCTAATGAGTACTATGCAAGATGTGATGGTGATGGTGGTGGTTGGGAGTGTGATGAAAGAAAATGAGAAATATTTTACAATCCCTTGAGGCATTTAAATTATACATTGAAAGAGATGAGATATACACTTACATGAGGGAAAAACCTGATAGATGATTCCCAAGCAGCATATTTGTATGTTGAAAATTATATTGTATAAAGTAAAATGTGTGGAGTAATTGAAAGACAGCTATCAATATTGGTCATTAACAACTTTGATTTTCTTTAAGTGTCTTCTACAAAGAAAAACCTTTCAGAACTATTAGGTAGAACTGTAGTTTGATACTACTAAAGATTGTCTGAAATCTGCTTAAGATTTAACCTCTCTTTTTGAAGGATAGACACTTAAATATTGATTGAAAAGCCAACTGAACACTAGAGGGCAGAATGTGAGAATGTAATGTATTAATACAATTAAAATAGCTGCCGGCCTCCACACTCATTGTAGTTATGTGAACATAAGTGCAGCCAGGAGGGCGAAGGTTCTGAAGGGTGCTAACCTGATAGTGTTTTGTAATTTTATCATTCTACTTTACGTTGACCACTTCTCAGTACTTTTTAAAAGAATTCAGGCTTTAGAAAAATGGGAAAGTAATGAAAGTTGATAAGTGTGCAACAAAAACATTATAAATTAGATGTTAAGCTGAAACATTACAAAACTTGAGATGATTTCCATCCTGAGAAACTTAGGAAGAAAATGTGGCTTTGAAAAAATAGTTTAGGAATAGTCATATAGAAAATAATACTAGTTCCTTGTTCTGTAACCCTGTGGTCCCCACTGCCCTCTGCCTGTTCAGAGCAGAGTTTTAGAAAGATGTTCTGTCTTCTGGCCTAAGAGGAGAAGGAAGGGAATGGATTTGGGCTGGGGAAAGATAAAAATAGGTAAAGTGGGTGGCAGGAAGGCAGTTGGCGACAATTAATATTTTAGGAAAATGAAAAGACCTTCAACTAGGGCTGCAATAGCAATAGGGTGACAGCTAAGAGATGGTTTTCCAAATTTGGTTATAGAATTGTCTGCCATGGACATCTTTTAAAGGGAGAAAAAGTCACTGTTAAAAGCAACCAAGGCTATCTCCATTTCTAGAAACAAGTGACAATGAACATGTTTCATTAGATGGTTAAACAGTGTTTGAGGTCACTTGGGACTGAGCTAATTTCTTTCAGCCTGAAGTCCCCTTCAGATGTTTGATTCATCATCTCTGATCTTTCCTCTAACCTGACTTTCTTTCCCTTTGCTTTTCTGCAGTGCTCATGTACCTCAAGTCAGCAATGTGTCTACAACCGGAGAGTAAGTTATTTGGGTTTTGGTTTTTTTTTTTTTTTTTAATGCCCTCTTCCACTTATTAAGCAGAAAAGAAAAAAAGCAACTCTAATGGTGTACAGTATTGGAAGATTAAGATAATAAACAGCCATTGACTTTTAAACTATATGGAGGAGAGGGCTACTTAAATATTCTTATGTGTCTATTCCTACGGACAACTCTAACATTGGAAAATATGAGCTTTTTATTTACTTTGTTAAAATAATGCCAGTATCAATTAGTATTTACAAGTAATCTCATGTGCTTTGGGAGGCATCTTGCAGTGGAGAATGTAATTAAAGGTTAAAGCATTAACTATGTCTTTACTCCTACTCAGTTTATTTGGCTGAGTCTACATTGAGTGCAACACGCCAGGTGCCTGTTAGGTGTGTAATGTCAAAGAAGCCATGGGCCCTGTCTTCAGGGATATGACAGTCTACTAGAGATGCAGAAAAGAAAACAAATTAGTGATGGCAACAAGTCCCTGGTCCAGAGGGCAGTGGCAGAGCTCTCTTAAATATGTCATCTCATGCCTTTTCCTCCAAAGTCTTCCACTGACACTTAGGCTAAATCTAAACTCCAGTTATCAGTCCTTGCCAATGCCTGTGACCATATTGGTCATTACACTTCAGCCACATGACCTGCTGTTCCCAGGGAGGGCCAACCTTACTGCTGCCTCAGAGCCTTTGTGTTCGCTGCTCCTCAGTCTAGCCAGAGCTTTCATACCATTCACTCCTTGTTCAAATGTCATTTTACCCAGGATTCTATTCTTGACTACCCGTATTCACTTGCCAGCACTTTACTCAGTGTTTTAGAGAACTTATTACTCTTGGAAATTACATTATTTTTTTAATTATCTATCTTGCCCTACAGGAATGTAAGCTCTGTAAACATAAGGAGCTCGTCTGTCAGTCTGTCATGTTCTTTGCTATCCTCCCTACTGTCTAGAAAAGTGCATATATTAGACACTAAATAAATATTCATCAAATGACAGAACAGCTCCTTGCCGACATATGTTTCCATCACACCTACCTGTTCTCCTTACTTGCTGGGATGTGAGGAAGCCTTTTTGGAGCATCTTCTCTTGGCAAAGATGAGATGTAGGAGGTGGGGAAGATGTGGGGTGATAGGGAGAAGAGGTAAGAGTTAGAAGAAGCACTAGTTGGAATGAATTTGGATCTAACAGGATGGATTTCCATTCTTTTAATTCCTTGTTGGTAGAGAAAACAAACAGGGAAGGACTGATTTCCTTTATTTAGCTTTGTCCATTTCAAAGATATTCAAGAAGTGCACCAAGGCTGACATGTTCTTGCCTTTTTTCTTTCCTAATAACCTTTCTTTTGTGTCTTCTATAGCTTGGAAAAAGTGCAGGGTTGTTCTGTTTAGGTATTTCAGTTTCATCTAGATGTTTAGTATGTTGTAAGAAGCCAAGTCTGATTTAATGCATTTTATGGCTTCCTCATGAATATGTTATTTATATATTATATATATGTCTTATGTGTATATTAATTTACTCACAATCTTCTGTACTGTGATTAAATAGTCTTGAATCATTTGAGACATGGAGTTCTATATATAAAAGTTCTAATGCCTAAGTTAATTGGACTATATTTCCTCATTGTCTTAATATATTTTTAATAAAATTTGAATGCGATAACTATGAGTTGATTATAAAACTGCATTTGAAAAATCTGAAATTAGTTGTCAAACCCATTTTATTTAAGTAAATGCTACTTCTCAGCCTGAGAATTTAGAATATATATATATTTTATATATATATATATATATTATATATTATATATATATATATTTTATATATATATATATTATATATATATATATTTTATATATATATATATTATATATATATATATTTTATATATATATATATACACATGTGGTTCTTTTTCAAGCAGAGAAAAACATGATTTGAGGAGTCTAAGCTAAGAGCTTTCCATACCAGCTTATTTGGAAGTAATGTGGTGCTAAAAGAAGGTTTACACAGCTTGAAAGATTCTACAGCTTTAACAATGATTCCATTTATAGTTTACCACGCATTCTTTTCAGCCCTTGTGCTTATCTGTTTTCCTCAGGTTGAACAAAGTAAATCTGTCCTTCCAACTTTAATATGTTTTGAGGTGTTTGTATGAATACAACTTCAATTATAAACATCACAAATTAATTGAATAGCGGTTAGGAAAGATTATGCCATGTTGTTATGAGTTCTAATTGTTCTGGTGAGTTTTCTCCCCCATAGCATTATTTTCATATAATTTTGTCTTGGATTCTAAATAGGCATCATAAAATTATTTGTGCAGGTTTGCTTTGCAGATCACTCTCTCTTCCTCTGTAGAGTTGGTATGAAATTGCCTCTGTAAGAATAGGTCTATTATTATTCTGTGAGGGCAAGAAAAAAATCTTTTCTTTCTTCCTTATATTAATTGACTCCTGTTTCCTGAATGCCTCATAATTGTTACTAGACTTGCCATGAGCAGTTCAGCAATACTAAATTCACAAAAATGAGAAACATTTATTAAACTGGCAGAATTGTTTTAGTTTTATTTTTAACACATAATGCAGATATTTTTTAGATTAATACTTCATCATCTCTTTTTGCTCGTGAAGTTTTAAAGGCCTTCTGTTGGAAATACAGACATTTCCATAACTGTAGGCACGTATTTTTTATGGTGATCACTGATGAACTTGACTGCTTGAATGACTCTGCATTCTTTTTGCCAGACTCTTAGAAAGAACCATCCGATCAGCTGTAGAACAACATCTTTTTGATGTTAATAACTCTGGAGGTCAGAGTTCAGAGGACTCAGAATCGGGAACACCACCAGCATCTTCTGCCACATCCGCCAGACAGCGACGCCGCCAGTCCAAGGAGCAGGATGAAGTTCGACGTGGGAGAGACAAGTGAGTTGGCACTGGTTCTTTCTCTTACTTGGATTTTCTCTTCTTTTTTAAAATATACACCTGAATTAGTCATGTGTTGTAGTCATACCTCCTGGTTTTCTCCCATTTCAATATTTAGGTTAAAACTTGAAGAGTTTTCAGTTTAACCATTCTAAATGTAGCTGCATTTGAAAATTCATAGGTGATTGCATAAATATTTGCGTTTCATCCAGAATTTGGTATGTTGTTGGAAGCCACCTCTGATTGAATACACTCTATGGCTTCCTTATAAATATCTTATTTAGAGGGATTCTAAACCATGGGCCCAGAAAGTAATCATATGCTTGTCCAGAGGTTTTTTTTTCTTGCTAGACAACATTAGGTTGGCTATTAGACTTGTTTATGAAGCAGCAGATTTCTCCATTACATTTATGTGATTAAATAGTCAGATGTCACTATAATACTCTGGTATTTGATCATGTTTTAGTATAATAAAGGTTGGGCTTAAATCTACTCATAAAATGAAAAGCTTAAGTTCTTTATTATAATAATCACTAATTTTAAGGCATTCCCATAATGTGAATTTTAAGAACAGTATTACATAGAGCTTTCTTCTCCATTAAAAAAGATTTAGTAAAATATAGATGAACAACTACCATTCATATTATTTAATAATCATGATTTAAATTGTCAAGGAAAATAAATTTATATAGATAATAGAGTATACGAGTATTGATATATTTTCCCTGAAAGTTCCAAGGTTATTTTTATTGACTGTAGCTGTTAGCCTTTCTGTGGTTGTTGTTTTGAACTCCTTATTAAATGTCGAAAACTAAACCGAACCAGACTTTAGTCCCCCTCATTCTTTTTCTTTCTTTTCTTTTTAAATTTTTATTAATATGTAATATTTGTAAACCTCTCATTCTCATTCTTTTTCACCTAGACTCATAATCTACATTAAACCCTTTGTGGAAAAAGGAAAAAACTTTTGTTTTGCTTAAAGAAAAACACAAAAGATAAACAGTATAAATAAGTCTCATGCTGTACCTCACTGAGTTGTTTAAGGGCTATATTAGCAAATGTAATTTTAGAAATAAAGCAGTATCAATAATATAGCCCATTAATTTAAAATAAATTTTCTTGGCGCTGGTGGATAGAATAGTTCTAATATTCCATTTAGAAAATAGGAAAATTATAATATAGGAGATATTTACATTTCTTCTCCTATGGCATTGCATGAGATATTTACATTTAAAATTAGCTACTGGCATGTTTATAAAAAGTGTTAAGAAGTATAATTAGTTTGTATACTACCTCTAATGTGTTATACAGAAAGCACAAATTATTCATTTAACACTGTTCTTATCTTCTGCCTCATTTTTTGCTGAGGAGTATGTAGCCACACTTTGCATTTTAAAAATATGCTCAGTGTGTCACGCTATCCTGCTTTCCACCCTCTTTGTTTGGACAGAGGGCTAGCAGGGGGGAGTGGGAAGTCGTGGGGAACAGGACAGAGAGAACAGAGAGTGATGGTGCTGATGGTGGATGCTTGGCATCGTGAATCTTGGAGTACAAACAATATCTAACCTGACGCACTATGATACAATCGTGTCTTTGCAGTCCTTCAACTTCCAGCCCACACTAAATGGCTTCTCTTAGCTCTCCAGGTCTTTGGAAGAGTGAGACCCTTATCTCTCAAAGCCCCAGATCCACTAATTTTGTCTGACCCAGCTGTGACCACAGGCCAGTAGTTATTTCCTATAACCCTCTCCCCTCATCTTCATGCTGGGTGCTGTCATCCTTTCACTCCCCTTCCTTGATCCAGCGTTCTCATTCCACTTGTTTCCTCCCAGGTCTACTCCTCTCCTTTTGCTCATCTACTTGCTTAAAATACTTTTCCAGCAGGCTGATTCTTTCAGCATCTCCATTTTGGTCTCAAATTTCTCTTTTACTTTCCTTTTAATGAGCCACCATAAAGATCCTCTCCAAAATCTCCAGGAGAGTCATGAACATGTCATAAATTATAAGAAGGTGAAGAATCATAAATATAGCCTACAGTCAATGGATTTGTCACAGTATATGCTTATATACAATTGATTCATTTAAGATTTGTCACAAGGCTTTACTCAAAAAATAAAATTAAGCTAGGCTGTAATATTCTATTCAAAACTATAAGTATTATGAAACGGTTAAAAAGTATTTAGAAACATAGAAATCTATATTATTATCTATTATTTTGCCTCTAGTAACTTAGAGATGCAACCAATTAAAAATTGTTCTTGTAGAAGCCAGTGATGACTATATTTCAAGATGAGTAAAAGAGTCAGTAAAGTCATACTAAAGTCATTATGACCAATTTTTGAAATAGCAGTAGCAAAGATAGACAAAGACTACAAATACTTCATTCATAGGTACAAATGATTTGTTATTTGTCTGAATTCACAAGGAAATATAATTAGACCCATATTACTGTTTGCTACAATAAAAACATAAAAGTTTAAACATAAAATCTTCATTATGTAAAAAGATTCAACTAAATTCATTTACTAAAAAAATCTGCCATCTGCCAAGTTTACAGAAATGTGAAATTTTGGTCATGGGTATATGGAAGTTTGTTGTGATAGTTTCTCTACTTCTGTATATATTTGAAAAATTTTATAATAAATATTTTTAAAAGCAAAGCATCATTTAAGTGAAAATGGTTTTCAATGTTTGAAAAACCCGATGAATTGGAAAATTGATTCAAATGTTTCTTTATTATATAAAGACTATATTAAAATTCTACTGCAAAGTGAAAGAAAAGCAGGCTATATTTGGGGAATAATAAATAGCTCAGTATTGCCAGGATATTAACTAGGTATGCTGGGGTGAGGAGAAAATCCTGAAAAAATATGGACATAATCTAGATAATGAAAGTGAGAGGTCCAGAAATCTAAGTTCATTCAAATCGAAGTTATGTCAAATATGCAAATAATATGACAGATTATTGCAGGAAGAAATTGAGTAAACCTGCTCCATCTAAGATTAGATTTAAAGAAATACAGTCATGTGTTTTATACAGAGCTGTATCTAAGTAGAGTGCCTCCAAAGTCTTCAACAGTGATAATTGAGCACCCAGTACTATAAGGTGCTACAATGATGAAGAACAGATATTGCACCCAGCCTCATGGATCTAGAGTGAAATTGAAATTAAAGTTCAACAAAATGTACTAGAAGAGACACATGGATGCACATAAAAGCTAGGACTTTCCTTTGGGGAGTACAGGATTTGCACATGAGTACAAGAGCATGGTCAGATTTTCATGTATCTATTTTGACAGGATTTATTCTAGTCATTCATTCAGTATTCAAAAGATCATAAACTTTGCTTTCTTGTTTTTAAAAATAGTTTTTAGCTGTTGTCTTTAGTCTACTTGGGTTGCCATAATAAAACACAACAGAAATTTATCTTCTGACAATTCTAGAAACTAGAAGTTCAAGGTCAAGGTATCAGCGGTGTCAGTTTCTGGTGAGGCCTCTCACATTGGCATGCAGATGGCCACCTTGTCGCTGTGTCCACACATGCCCCTTCCTCTGTGTACGCTCTCCTGATGTCTCTCCCTCTTCTTACAAGGACATTATTGAATTAGGGTCCTACCCTTATGACTCTTTTAACATTTTTTACCTCCTTAAAGGCCCTGTCTCTGAATACGGTCACATTGGGGATTAGGATTTCAAACTGTGAATTTTGAGTGTACATCAGTAGTCCATAATAGCTTTCAAACATAAAAGGTCCTCCATTTCAAAGTTATAATTGGGGCCAGGAACGGTGGCTCACCCCTGTAATCCCAGCACTTTGGGAGGCCAAGGCAGGTGGATCACTTGAGGCCAGGAGTTTGACAACAGCCTGGCCAATATGATGAAACTCGGTCTCTACTAAAAATACAAAAGTTAGCGTCAGTGGTGGTGCACGCCTGTAGTCCCAGCTACTCAGGAGGCTGAGGCAGGAGAATTGCTTGAACCTGGGAGGCGCAGGCTGCAGTGAGCCGAGACTGTGCCACTGCACTACAGGCTAGGCAACAGAGCAAGACTCTGTCTCCAAAAATAAAAATAAAAATGAAAAAAAAAATTATAATTGGACATATACCCCAAAAGCTAGGTTAATGAGTACAAAAACATAATTAGAAAAAGACCTAGTATTTGGTAAGACAACAGGGTGATTAGAGTCAAAAATAAATAAATTGTACATTAAAAATGTCTAAAAGAGTATAATTGGATTGTAACACAAAGAATAAATGCTTGATGGAATGGATACCCAATTTACCTTGATGTAATTATAATGCATTGCATGCTTGTATCAAAATATCTCATGTACCCCGTAAGTATATACACCTCTGTACCCACAAAAATTAAAAATAAATGAAAAAGAAACAGAAAAAATAAGGCTAGGAAAACTATGAAGAGTGATAAGAAGATAAAATTTAAATAGTACAATAATTTTTGAGTTTTAGAATTAGACCAAATGCATCCAGCCCCCCACAGGAGGTGCTGCTCTCAGTGCCTGGAGGGGAGAGATTGAGGAGTGTGTGCATGAGTATTTGTGCTTCCATTTAGTCCCTATCAGCTTTTCTTCCTGGCTTCAATTACTTTGTGCTTAGAATATCTCTTATAAATGTGCATAAATCTTTTATATAATTTTACTAAATGTATATATATTTTTTCACATTCAAGTTGTAGGAAAAAAAAACTTAAATATAGCATTAAAAATTACCAAAGATAGTATAACTTTGAAAATATTATGATAGTATTTAATTCATAATTTTGCCTCTGTTATACCCTGTCCAAAGATAAGAATTTAGATTGCAGAATAAATATTTAATGTTATCTTTCATTTTGGGATATGGTTGAGCCAATAATAAAATATGGTATCTATTTTTACCCTTTAGAATTCATTTATTTCAAGATACAGTTTTAGGTGTTTAGGTACATTAACTTAGTCATACCATGAAGGAGAGTAAAATCTCATTTATTTGTTCCTTACCAAGCCGTGGTGCTGTGCTGGTGGTTTCATTTGTGCCATGATATTGTTTCTTTTTTTTTTAAATTCAGTTTGCTAATTTACTATTGTGAAAACATATTATAGGAATGCTTAAGATATTATTACTTAAAACTGTTTCATGAACGTCAAATGAATTAAATTCTAGAATTATGACATTTAGAGACATTTATATCTACTTCTACAAGTATGTCATGAGAGATGTCTGTACTGGGAAGTAACATCCAGATTTCAGTTAAAATGCTTTGTATTCTATAGTTTTATTAATTTATATGATTCCTACTAAGATTCTTAAGAGTTTAGCGAGATTGAAAAACACATTTCTACACTAAAATTGAAGATATAATTTCTTTTCAGATTTTTCTCCATACATTGTATTAATTTATACATTTTAAATATATATATTAACATCTACTGTGAATAAGGAAATTTCTGTATAAACTTGCACTGGTCTCCTGTTTGAATACAAATTACTTTTGATAAAATACAAAAGCTGTCCATTGGTAGAAACAGCCCTTGCCAATTTGCCTCTAGGAATCATTTCTCTTTCAATGTGATTTATTTGGCACCAAGCAGTTCCAGGAGTGGCACTCTGCTCAGATGTTGATCAGAGATGCAAACTGGAATTTTTGGGCACTCTTTGGATTTCCTATGTACGATATGATGTAGTTGGAGTATCATTAAATGATCATTTGAGCTTTTAAAATAAAATTAAGCTTTTTTCTTAATTCAAGGGGACTTATCAACAAAGAAAATATTCCTTCTGGGTTCAACAACCTTGATGATTGTATTTTGAATACTCAGGAAGTCGAAAAAGTACATGAAAATACTTCTGGTTGTGTTGGAGAACGGAGCAAGCCTAAACGTCAGAAATCCAGCACTAAACTTTCTGAGCTCCATGACAATCAATACGGTCTTGTGGTAAGTGACTGTGTCTATAAAATTTTACTTGTTAGGAAATATTACATCTCTTTTCTTTGCTTTGTAAAAAAGTAAAAAGCAATTTTAGTCTTCAGTTTTATAACATTATAGAATATGAGTTCTGAAAGAGACCTTAGAGCTACTAAGTATACATATTTGTATTTCTTTTTAATACAAAAATTAAGGCTGAGAAATATTACATTGTACAAAGGAACAAGAGACAGCATACACTCTGATTTCCATTTATTTTTTTCTCATTGTTTCAAGCATTTTTAAATTTTGTTTTTGAAACAAAATTGTCCATAAAGCATTTTTTCTTCTTGTTCCCAATTCTATTTGTTGTTATCTAAACGATTATGTTTTATAAATTAATGAATGAACTTAAAGCAAAATGAAATACACAGTGAAAGAGGGTCAGCTATCTTCGTGTTCAGAAATCACTTCATGTTCAGAAATTTGATTTCAAATCTATACTCTTTTAAAGTATTTTCTTCCAAGTTAATCAGGAACAAAAAAAATTAATCCCCTACATAGTTGCCTCAGAGCTGAGTCCTGGATCATTAATTTAGTGCATAGTATAAGTTTTTACAAGTGGTTTAATCAATAGCTAAATACTTATTCAGTGTAGCTATTAACACTCATCATCCTTTTTTCCTTTATGTATTAGTTTCTCTGAAAAATAAGCAACGAAGTCCGTCCCTTTAGTTAAAAAAAAAAAAAAAACCCAAAACCTGGAGATAAGTTTTATAACATGACATGAACTAGAATCCCTAATAAAAATAAGCAATACCCTCTCCTACTGTTAGTGTGCAGATCCTCTGATGTACTTTGTCTCTGACCAGTTTTTAGCTCCATGCTGGGTTTTTCATACATTCAACAAAATTCATGGGCCACCTATTTTCTCATTGTCAATTTCTGCATGTGCTCAGAGAAGATTTCTAATTTTTCCATAAGTAAAATACACATAAGTGCAAATCTAGGGTATTTTTCCCCCATAATGTCTTGATGCATTGTTTCTGGAAGTAAACTGATCAGCTGGAATAGACAGAAGTAATAATAATCATCCACCTCAGACTTATGTCTGGTATGGTTCTCAAAATAAAGAATTTAAAGTTTAGAATCATGACACACTATTTTTTTAACACTGATGGTTTCATTTTTGTTGTTAAAAGTAAATATTTAAATTAAATGATATTAAGTTCACTAGCTCTTTATTTGGCCCATGGTTTGCTTATCTGCCAGAGAGATATCTGGTGACCAACAGTCTGAGACTTGGCTTTATAGTGTGAAAAGAAGCTATGAAGCAGGCTTCTCAGTTTGAATCCCTTTTTACATTCATTTAGCCCATTAATTTTTTCCACCAGGAATAGTGTCTTAAGTTAGTTAGATGGTAATCATTCATAGAAGTGGAAAAGTACATTTACTCCGTAGAATATTTGTTTACTGACAAAACTATGGACATGGTCTGTGCTGAAAAACATTGGGATGGATGATATTCCATTTGGGGTTTTCTATGTGAAAGAATTTGCTCCTACCCTAATTGCCAGTTTCCGCATTCCAGGATTGTACATGTCACATGTGAGCTCAGTGGACCGTGTCCTTATTGCAATGAATAATTTAAAACTCTGCCAATACAACTTAGAAGAAAAATTTCCTCATCTGTAAACTGAGGGTGTTCTCAAAGATGTTTTCAAACTCTCATATTCCATGAATTTAAAAATCTAATCTTTGCAAGTAACCACAAAGCAAAGAGCCAGGGAACACAACAACGACTAGTATTGAGACTACGTCCTGAAAGTTAAGTTGTGTATCTTCACTTCCCCTTTATTTTTAACCTTCTAATTTTACTTTCCCCAACTTTCCTCCAAAACCTTTCCCTAGCGCATTTTAAGTTCTTTACATTCTGAACAAACATTTGTTTCTATAGCTTAAAAAAATTATACATAATTATATGTCTTCTGTGTGGCAGGAAATAGTTTAGATCCTGTGGATACAGTAGTGAGAAAAACAGGTAACAATTCCTGCCTTCCTGGAGCTGACATTCCAGTCAGGGAAACAGACAATAACCAAGATATATAAATAAAGAATAAAGTATATTAGATAGTGATAACAACTAGAAAGAAAAAATATGCAGGGAATGGGGACAGGAGCTGTGATGGGGCAAGGGATGCAGTTTTAAGTGGAATAATCAGGGGAGACCTCTCCAAGAATTTGACACTTGAGTATAAAGAACTAGAGGAAGTAAGGAAGCAAGCCTTACTGATGTAATGGCAGGTGCAAGGACTCTGAGGCAGTTGTTTCCTGGAATATTCAAGGAACCACAGAGGCACCATTATGGTTGGAAAAGAGTGAACAAAGTGAAAGAGGTAATGGAAAGGCAGGGCAGATTAAATAGGTCCTCGTAGATCATTGTAAGGACCCCTCCTTTATTCTGGGTGACATGAGAAGCCATTGGGTTCTCAGTAGAGCAGTGGTCTGACTTACTTAAATTTGGTGATGCTTTGTTGAAAATAGACAGTAAGCAGGCAGGGGCAGAAGCGGAGAGACCAGTTAGGAAGCATTACAGTCATCTGGGTTTGAGATGATGATGGCTTGAACTGAGGTGTTACAAAAGCCAGCCATATGGACTCTCGGGCTGTACACTGCACTGGTCCAGGGAACACTGTTCCCATCAACTAAAACATGAATGGTATACCCTGGAGTTGTGCACTGCAGTGGTCATGAGGTGGGGGTAAGAAAGTGGATGTATTTGAAGACAGAATTGACAAGATCACCTGATAGAGTCAATGTGGGATATGAAAGCAAGAGAGGAGTCAAAGACGATTCCAAGATTTTTGGCCTGAGCAGCCAGGAGATTGGTATTGCCAATTTACTCAGATGAGGAAGACAGAAGTTTTGGGAATCATATCCTAAGTTCAGTTTCTAACATGGAAGCATTGAGCTGCCCATTAGACATCTAAAAGGAGAGAGATTAGAGAGGCAGCTGGGCTTGTGGGAGAATGTCCTCCTTAGAGATGCAAATGTGGGAGTCATGAGCATTATAAATGATTTAAAGCCAGTACACTGGCTGAGATAACCAAGGGAGTGAATATGGATAGAAAAAGCCTTCACAAAAGGCCTTGACACAGAGAATGGGGAGATGAGAAACCAGCAGAGGAAACAAGAAGCAGCAGCCAGAAAAGTCAAAGAAAAATGAGGTAAGTTTGGTGTCTTAGAAGCCAAGTAACCAAGGGTCTCAAAGAGGAAGGAGAATCAGATGAAGACTGAGAGTTCTACCATTGAAATTAGCAAAATGTACCTCCCTGGTGATCTTAGTAAGAATGGTATTGGTAGAATGATGGCAGCAAGAGCCATTTTCAAGAGAAGATGGTAGGAGAGTAATTGAAGACAGTGAATGATGGCCTCACGGTGATCTTGCTGGCCCAAGCACAGATAAAGAGGAGAATATGGTGTAAACCTGGAAAAGCATCTTACAGATTTGGTGTCTTTACAGTGAGAACTATCTGGCTCCTTTCTCCCTCTGTCCTTTTGCATCTTGAGGATGTCATGACCAGCCGAGACTGAGACGATAGATAATTCAGAGCTCAGAAATCAGGGGCAGTGAGGTACCAGTCTGGGTATCAGACTGCACTGCCTTATCTTTAATTATTGCCACAATCCCAACCTTTCCCTTTCCTTAAACCTCAGGCTCACACCTGTGCCCTTTCTTCTCTCTCAGAGGAGAACCTTACCCCCTCTTTGACTTTGAAGAGCTGAGATAACCCCCTTCTGTTTCTACTTCCCTCACTTCACTTCAAAACTCTCCAGCTCTCTGCCTGTTCCATGTGCTTACTTGCTCAAATGACAAAGTAAGTTCCCTAAATTCTAAGGCTAACCTCTAAGGTGAAAAGTATCTTTAGATTTTCTGTTTTCTACATCCATCTCCCAGCCCCCCTGACATGTGCATAGAAACGTATTTACACATACACAGTTCTCTATTAGTTCATTTCCATTGGCCTAGAAAAAAGTCTCTTTATCCTCTCTAGGGCATGCATTTTATCCAATAATCCTACTTCTGCTACTCTGTTCTAGGTGCATAATTTTTTTTTTAAGATGGTGTCTCTCTCTGTTGCCAGGCTGGAGTGCAGTGGCACAATCCCACTCACTGCAGCCTCTGCCCACCAGATTCAAGCAATTCTCCTGCCTCAGCCTCCTGAGTAGCTGGGATTACAGGCACATACCACTATGCAAAGCTAATTTTTGTATTTTAGTAGAGATGGGGTTTCACCATGTTGCTGAGGCTGCTCCCAAACTCCTGACCTCAAGTAATCCACCCACCTTGGCTTCCCAAAGTGCTGGGATTACAGGTATGAGCCACCATACCCAGCCATTAGGTTCATAATCTTAAATATAAAAAAAACACAATGTATTAATTTGTTCACTGCAAGTCTATTTATAATCGTGGAGAATTAGAACATTTAAATGTTCAGAAGTAGACGACCAGATAAGTAACATTTGTATGTTAACTCAATAAAATATTCTGCAATGATTGAAAATTCTAGTTATGAAATTATATAATAAAATAGAAAATATTTGACAAGTTATATTTTAAGTGCTTTGCATATATTCTCAATTTTAATCCTCTGCATAATCTATAGGTAGATATTATTATTCCCATTCTAATCATGAGGAAAATTAAGCACAGGAGATTAAGCAACTAAGTCACATGTAAGTGGTGGAGCTGGGATTCCACTGTACCGCCCTACAGTATAAAAATAGGTTATGAAGCAATATCTGCAGTGCATGCACATATATGTATGAAATATTCATTCCTCATTCCTAGGAAAAAGGACTGAAAGGATATATGGCTAAAAGTGATTGTGTGATTACATTATAGTGGTGGCAGAAGTATTTCCTGTAATTGTTTCTCTTCTCTCCAGATATGTTCTGTGTGATTATATGAATTTTAGATTATGACATTTAATATATGAAAAATAAAAACAAAGTCTGTAGGTCTCTCA